CTAGATACAGAAATCAGAATCAAGAAAGGTTTTTTTAAGAGGGGACGTAGGAGATAGACTAGTAGTGATGATTAAACAAAGTGTCTTTGGTTTTTGATGTTGATGAATTGATTTTATGATGTGGGTTTTGTGTGAAATGGTTTAATTGTTATGAAGAGTGTAGGGTTCGACTTTTTCTGAGAATTTCTGGAGTGGGACACTGAAGAGTACATAAAAATACTGACTTGGGCTTTAATTTTAATTTAGTGGTACCATCTAGAAAGGAAAGAACGATGTCTTCACAGATAAATTTGGTGATGACAGTGATTGGATTTGCAATGAGTACCCTGTTCATAGTGTTTGTATGTACTAGACTCATATGGGCTCGAATTCAATTAAATGCTTCGAGGCGAGCTTTAACCACGGGTTCTAGATCTGATCTTAACATTGTAAGTTCTTGTTCCCACTATATGTTCATATTTCATTTCTGATTTAATAGCATACTTTGTAATTACATGGTTTCTGTGCATTTTTCCTTGTGCTGTAAAGGATTTATCATTCTGTATGTATGGTCATGCGTTTACTTTTTTCGTTTGTTTTTATCCATCTTTGTAAAAGGGTTGTTCACTCTTACAGGTTGCCAATTATAAAGGGTCTATCTTTAGAAACTTACATTTGCCAATTATAATGAGACTAACATTAGATCTTACATTTCTGGAGGTATTTATCACTGTGGATCACTTATTACTATTTTGAACTGAAGGCATGCTTAATTCATTTTGTCAACAGTTGGAGAGGGGTTTGAATGGCCTTGAGCCTCTTGTGGTGGCTAATTTTCCCATCAAGAAGTATAAAGATTTATGCTGGTCTTCAAAAGAAAATACTCAGTAAGTTCTCCTCTTGTTGATCTCTTATAGTTTGCTGAATATACTATGATGCTCTGCCAAGTGTGCTGTTAATTTTTTTTCTTCTTCTAATTTATTTAGAAGATTATTAATTTGATGAAGACATTACTTACTGCCCTTTTGAAAGTCTTACTTTATCCAGGATAGACACATGGTGATTCTTGCATGATTAATTGATTTGACTGTTTGCTCATCAGCTATTAGTAGCAAGTGACAGAAAAATCTTGTATTTTAGTTTTATTATCTTGGTTGAAGGAAATACTGCTAAGGTTGATCTATATGTAATTTTCTCCTAACATTATAGTTTAGTTTTAGAAAAATGTTTTGACTCTGATTTTTGTTTGAATTTCGACTCCATTCATCTTGGACTTTGTCGAATGGGTGTCAGCTATGGACTTGAGATTGTCCGTGCTCTGTACCATATCGTTAAGTGTGTCTCCAGAATTGTCTTAATGTGAATATGATGGTCCTGGGCTAGTCTATCTGCCTTCATCCTGAACCATGAGGAGGCCATTGATAAAACTAAGGTTCAATAATTGATGAACTAACCATTTCTTAGCCAACGATTGTCAGATAGTGGTACCATGCAAAAGATTTAAATGTTGCCCTTGAGTTTTTTGCAATAGATGAAGAAACTCTATTGGTTAAATTTGCATATTCTGAGGCCATTGAGTTTTTTTCCTTGCGTTCGTAATAGTTGGAAAACGGAATTTGTTGATGTCCACTATCCGAATTTCTTAATTAGTGTTTCTTGACAATTTCTCTGGAAGATACTGCAATGCATCTTGGTTACAATTTCAACCTTATTCTCAACGTGATTTAAGTTGAATATAATGATCATCATCCTAACTGTTAGTCTGTTTTAATGTTTTTCTAGGAAAATTTTTGTTGAATGCAGTTCTTGGAAATTTGCTCTTAATAATATAGGGAAGGATTTTTTGTTTCTCAGGCTAATGAGATATATTGATACTTGTAAAAGATGTGCTAAATAATAAAATCAAGTAGAAGGAAGCTACATTATTTTTCCAGTCCATGGGAGGATGAGTGACTGGGAGAAATTGCCGCATTATCCTTTTCTTGGACCATAATTGTACATGAAAAATCCTTGGAGGGCATTTGAACACTCTTTTTTCACCATCTTGTTCTGCTCCACTTTCCCCTTTACTCCTGGTCTTCACACACACGCCCCCCAAAAAAGAAACTCTATCTACTAAAATGGCAGACATAACACGTGGTTGCTACCATGATTTAAGCACTTATTGCTCTTATCTCTGTACTTATCCCAATTGCAGAAAACTTTGTACAACACCACAACTGAAAGAAACTCTACATACAATCACAATAAAGAAAACAGCAATTCCATATGTACAGAAGAGTGTGAAACATGCACCAGAAATCTCACATTGTGGGGCCCAAGTTGTAATAAAAAAAGTCAAAAAAATACCCACCCACCCCGGTGCTGTGTCTCTTCCATGGTGTTTCTGTGTGTACAGAGTACACACAGCACTGCTCGAAAGGAAAACTCCCATCACAACGCTGCAGTTTCCTTTCCCCAGCTCTATTATTGCACGAGCTTGAAAACTGCAAAATGTCAAGTTATCCCAGTAACTTATTCAGTCCATTTTGGTAATTTCTTGATTTGCTCAATATGAACTAAGAATTATATGCATACCTAACTAAAAACAAATCGTTTCCAGTTTTTCTCACTTCACTGACTTGAACGATGAGGAACTAAAACACGAGTTCTGTAAGAGGGGCACTTTATTCATTTTGAGTTAGTGGATAGTGGACCCTTTAGGATCTCGGGGGTGGATGTTTGATTTTATAACCAATGGAGGGTTGCATGCTCGCATTTTTACTTGCCATTTACCATTCTAACGTCGAAACATGTCCGCAGGTGTACTGTGTGCCTTGCTGAATACAATGAGGAAGATAAACTACGTATCCTTCCTAATTGCGGACATTCTTTTCATGCATCATGTATCGACATATGGTTGCACAAGCAATCCACATGTCCTGTATGTCGAATTTCACTGAACGAGCTTCCCGAGAGAAAGCGGTTTATGCAGCCAATGTTTAGTTCAGCCATCCGACCCCAGTACAGCATGCAATCTATCAACGTGCGTTATTGTCAGTGCTTATCAAATTGCCACAGACATTCACCGAGATCCCTTGACAACCAAATGTCGGGCCCTACCCAGGAACTTCAATGTCGATCTGAGGATGCAACGGCCTGTTGATTGATGGTAATATAAAACATTAAACGAGTAGAGAGCACATGTTTGCTGAATAGTACTGAAGGGAATGCTAGTAATGGATAAGTTCTTCAGCCACAGTATTTATGTTGTTGCTTTCAAGGGAATGCCCAGAAGTTGATGGCACTATCATTGAGATCAGGTCCTGGAAGCATCTATGCACTTGTAGCTTTATGTACATATAACAATCAGTGATTTGTTTTCCATATTTTACTCCTTCCTTGTAATCTATTTCTTGGTAGTTTTTTGGCTCTGTTCAGAAGATCTCTGTAATATAGATACCACCATCTGATGATGCTGATCCACCCCTTCTCTCTCTCTCTCTCTCTCTCTCTCACACACGTTAAAGTCAGTGAACTTTGTTTCGTCACAATTGTGTCAATTTATACCAATCGATTTTATCAAGTCATTCCGTCCAAGTCCATTAGTTTGTCAAACACAATAATGGCATGAAATAGATTGTTGATTTCAAAATAAATTGTTATGTTAATGAACTCGAACGGAGTGACATAATTGCAACAAAATTATAAATTGAGTTACTCAATTTTTTAACCCAAGTTATCCGCTTGAAATAGAGTACAATTTTGATTACCTCCAAAGAGTTCAGCTCACTTGAAATCGGGTACAGTTCACTTAAAAATCAGATAGTCATTAAGTAGTGGCAGATTTAGAGGGGAATTGGACTGGGCTTCAGCCTGGTCCTCCAAGCCCATTTCAAATGTTTTAAGGAAAAAATTTTACATATTAGCATGGCTTAATTTATTTATTTATTATTATTTTTTTTTAAAATTCAATCCTGAATTCAACCCTGATATTAAGTAAAGTATTCGTTGGATATATGTTTTGAACGTTGCCCTACTCCTTATATAGCCTTATAGTGAGTATTGATGTGTTTGTTCAGACAGTACAAGAAAGGAAATCTACGTATTGGTGTGCTGTCGCTCTCAGCCTCTCGACAGACCTGATCGTACCAATTAGATCGTCGATTCTTAAAACATATTGACGAATTAAATATCTAGATAATATAAACCTACTCACTTAAATGGACCGCATAGCGCAGTGGATTAGCGCGTTTGACTTCGGATCAAAAGGTCGTGGGTTCGACTCCCACTGTGGTCGCGTTCTTTTAACCTCCATTTTTTTTTTTTTTGGCATCTGTTTCCTTCCCCCAAGAAGAATCTAAGCCCATTGTAATAGATATGAGCTGAAATTGTATCTAATCACACACCAATTCATTTGTCCTAAAACAAATTCCACCTCAGAGTTTCTTCGATCTGATTCAAATGCCATTGACACAGATGTTCGGGTTCAAAACTTTCGTGCCATTGCCCAGACCCCTCTCTCCCGCCCTTCCATTTCACAACCTCAATTTCTGCCCCATAAAACCCAAAACCCCAAAACAATTCTCACTCCATTCACAAAACAATAACTTGCCCAACCCAGAATACGACACCAGCATTAAAAATGGCGGAGGTTTTAATGGACGGTCAAGATTGAATCTGAACTGGGCAGATCTAGTACTTGATCCAGATCCGAATAATATGGTGGCAGTTGGATTGATCGGCATACTCGCATTGACTGTGGTGCAGGTTTTATGGCAGCTGTTGGTGATTTCATTTGCCATATTGGCTACTGCTCTCAAGTATGCTGTAGTTGCTGCTCTTCTTGTCTTTATTCTCATCACACTCCTTTGATTTTTCTTACATTTTCTTTTTTCTTCAAAATTTTGAGCATATTGATCTTGTGTAATATGGATCGATATGATAGCATAGGTTTTGATTTTTGGAATCGACCTACACTTGATGGAGAAGTTGACAATAGCGAGCGCAGGCAGGGGCGGACCCAATGGGGGTATCCTAGGGTCACTTAACCCACCACTTTTTTCAAGTTTTATTTATTTATTTATTTATTTTTGTCTTAGTTTTCGGGTTCACTATAAAATATCAAAAAAATTGAAATATTACATTTTTAATATCATTTTGAAGCATTCACAGCTTACTATTTTCACGTCATTAATGTTGTGCGAAATGATCAATCATAGCAAATATTATGACGAATCAAAATAGGCAATTACAAACTAATATTTCAAAAATTTCGATAACAGGCTAATTTAAAAAAAAAAATTTACTCTAATCATATCCATAAATCTTCTATATTCTCTCGAAACTCATTTCAAGAATTATATCATAAACATATCTAATGATCTAAATGAATATAAAAAATAGTTAAACATACGTCAAACGTGTATGTTGAAAAGAGACATATAACTCGTCTTTTTTGAAAAAATTAAATTATTTATTAATATTTATTATTTTTGGGCGAAAATTTCTCAATATAATTTACATTATTTTATTAGGAAAATTTATATGTGGTATGACGTCAAGTTTTAAAACTTTTTAAATGACTGACCAATTCATTTTTAGATTTTAAAGGTCTCCTCCATTGACTTGATGAATGCAGTGTCAGCGTACCACGATATTGTGTAAATTGAAAAGAAGTGGAGGAGAAATTATTCAAATGAATACAAAATTAGGGTGCACACATTTAATGAGCCGTCTCCAATGACCCAAAATCGATTAATGAGCTGTCTCCAATGAATAATAAATTATGATCTCCGCTAACATATATAAACATTAAGTTTAGTTTCGTTCTGATTCTCGATTATAGAATCAAACAAAAACCAGAACCAAATGATTCTCGGTTCAAAAAATCAAAACCATTCATTTTTTTAATAGAATCGAAACAAACCATTCGGTTAGATTTGATTCGGTCTAGACATTTTGTAATCCCTAATTCTTTGTTCTTTTTTGTGTCCTCTTAAAGTTCAAGTCCAATATTTGAATCCAATAGATTTCTATCTTTTTCCTTCTTGTTACTATATATCTTGTCTACTAATTGTTAGTACACTAGTTTTTCAAATTTCAGTGCCAACACCATGAAGGAGGCTCAATGTTAGCACACTATGTAATACTATTTTAGCATACTTAATAAACGTGCACTTCATTTTAAAATAAATAAAATAAGTATCACTTTCATTTTTCAGAAAGTGAAGTGAAAATTTTAGGAGGTTGTTTAGCCTATGAAATTGAACAGGATTAAATCGTACCATACAAAAAAGTGGAGGTTTCTTGAGCACTTGTGAAAGTTATACTTTAAAAGTTTCGTATTGAATAATACAACCTAACACAAATGTTGCAAGGCGACCATATGTTCAATTAAATAAAATCGTGTGATATTACATTTTGAGTGAATTTATCATTTAATGTCATGAAATGACCACCTAGACTCTTACTTGACATCAATACTATTGAATAACATCTCTCTTTCTTATTACAAATAATTTGTGTACTTTCTTTCTGTTATCTTACAAAATGAATTGTAAAAAATAACAAATGGTATTTTATAGAGAGAAAATGTAATAAAATGCCTCGATATAATGCGTTTAGATTCGATAAATTAGTGATTTGTCCAACATAATTTTTTTTCTTCAAAAGTAACTCTTTGAGCCCATTATTTGCCAAAAATGTATTTTGGAGTGGTGATTTGATAGAGAATTTGTGGTTAAAAAATAATGAAAAGTTTCAGATTTACATATAATATTATTTTATTGAAAAATGCATGGTTAAAAATAATAGCAAATAATATATTTTAAAAATAATAAGGACCAACCAAGGACTAAGTTTCGTCCATTAATTATTCAACTCGCATAATTTTAGGGTACGGCTATTTACACCCACAATTTTTATATATTCATCATACTCTATATTCATCTCTATTAAAATTTTAAAAAATTACTATGGTCATCCACGTCATATTCCAATATTGTCTTTATTAAATTTATTCATTTAAATATTATATATCTACACAAATTTTATATATTCGTCCCACTCTAAATACATCCATAATACAATTTCAAAATTTTAAAAAAATAACTATATTCATCCCCATTACATATAACGTCAATTTTCTTATAATTCAATAATTAATTCTATGGACAAAACATTATATTCAAAAATAAATTTAAAAATCCCGTAGGCGTGTTATTTGCCACATAAATTGGTCCATTATATTTGATTGACGAATATTCATTTTTGTATTCGATGAAAATCAACTTTTTGAGGTTATGTATAATTTTGAAATAAAATAAAATTTATATATGAATTTGAAACAAATAATAAAGTTCGTATAATTAAATTGAGGCTAATCATGTCATAGCTCTAAAGTGGATTTGCCAGGTATTGGTCACAAAATCTTTAGTATTGGCCACGACAATAGTTTGAATTGTAATTATAAGTTCAAAATCAATTAGGACAATAATTATAGTAGCAGTTTTATCATTATATTTCTCACTACTCATGATTTATCTAAGTTAATTATCTCTAATATAACCACATATTTTTCTATTAGGGATCTAAAAAGTTGCATCCTAACATGATATGGTGTAGTCCAGTCCTCTGCACATGAATGATGGTACTTTTACCAATAACAAGAAATAGGTGGCATTGATCCACTAGTGCGCCAGCTCACGTGCATAAAAATACGTGGTAAAAAAAGCACAAGTAAAAATATCGTTTAGTTAATGAAAATTTAATTGACTTAATAAATATTTGCTGAGGCAAAATGGCTGTCTTTGACAAATCTAATTACAACAATATTAATTGCTGGTACACTAGTTTTTCAAATTTCACTTCTAACACCATAAAGGATGCTCATTATTCGCACACTATTTAATACTATTTTAAAATACTTAGGTCCCGTTTGATTCCCTTTTTTTATCAAAACGTATTTTTTTCTATTTTCTTTTTAACAACATATTCTTCATTAAAATAATATAATACGTAAATCAAAAACTTTTTCTTTATTTTTCATCCACACATTCTCTATCAATCTCCTACTCTAAAATTCATTTTTCCAATGAAATGGGTGTCAAACACCCTCTTAATAAACACGCACGGCATTTTAAAATAAATAAAATAAGTATAACTTTCATTTTTCAAAAAGTGAAATGAAAAATTTTAAGAGGTTGTTTAGCCTATGAAATTGAACAGGATTAAATCGTACCATACAAAAAAGTGGAGGTTCCTTGAGGTATGAACACTTGTGAAAGTTATACTTTAAAGAGTTTCGTATTGAATAATACTACCAAACACTAGTGTTGCTAGGCGATCATATGTTCAGTTAAATAAAATCAAGTGACATTACATTTTGAGCAAATCTATCGTTTAATGTCACACAATGACCACCTAGATTGTTACTTGACATCAATACTGCTAAATAACGTCACTCTTTCTTATTACAAATAATTTGTGTATTTTCTT